ACTGAGCTATGATCGCACCACTGGACTCCAGCCTGTGTGTCAGAGCGATGCCCTGTCTCTTATAAAATAATAAATAGGGCCAGGCGTGGTGGCTTATGCCTGTAATCCTAGCACTTTGGGAGGCCAAGGTGGGCGAATCACCTGAGGTCGGGAGTTTGAGACCAGCCTGACCAATATGGAGAAACCCCGTGTCTAGTAAACATACAAAATTAGCTGGGCATGATGATGCCCACTTGTAATCCCAGCTATGCAGGAGGCTGAGGCAGGAGAATCACTTGAACTTGGGAGGTAGAGATTGCAGTGAGCTGAGATTGCCCCATTGCACTCCAGCCTGAACAACAAGAGCGAAACTCCGTCTCATATAATAATAATAATAAAAATAAATAAATAAAAACTGACATTAGGTGTACCTGTTTTCCAATCCCATCCCTCTTTACTGTTTCTCTCTTGAAGCTATCAACAGACCCACAACCAGCCAAATGCAGGGCCAAGAAGCATATTCGCCCAGCTGCCCTAAATATAGCACTTCCAGCCCCTCCCCTTGGGAGAGGGTGAATGTGAAGAAATAAATTCCAATTGCTTTAAGCCACGCGGATTGTGGTGGTTTGTTACGATTGCCTGGGAAACACCATACTCCTCTTTCCTTGTTTCCTGGCCTACCCTCTTGATGTTTTGAGTTTGGACCTCTGAGTGGCAGGACTACCCCACCACACCCCAATCCCTTCCCTAATTCCTCTGCCTTTTTGGATACAGGCCTCCGCTTCCTGGCCAGGGCTTTCTGCTGGCTGTGGGCTTCTTCTGACCCTTTCAGCCAGGCCAGCAGAACCCACGGGCAGGGGGAGGAGCTGGAAGTGCTATATTTAAGGCACCTGGGAGAATGTACATTCTGGCCCTGCATTTGGCTGGGGTGTGTCTGTTGATAGCTTCAGGAGAGAAACAATGAAGAGGGATGGGGTTTGGGAATGGGTTCACCTGATGTCAGTCCTTATTTATCTGTTTATTATTTTATAAGAGAGTGGGCAGCTGGGCACGGTGGCTCATGCTTGTAATCCCAGCACTTTGGGAGGCTGAGGCGGGCAGATCATGAGGTCAGGAGTTCGAGACCAGTCTGGCCAAAACAGTGAAATCCCATTTCTACTAAAAATACAAAGTTAATTGGGTATTTTAACTGTGGTGCAGGAGCCTGTAATTCCAGCTACTTGGGAGGCTGAGGCAGGAGAATTGCTTGAACCTGGGAGGCAGAGTTTGCAGTGAGCCGAGATCACGCCACTGCACTCCAACCTGGGCGACAGAGCTAGACTCCATCTCAAAAAAAAAATAAAAAATGGACAGAGGGCATTGCTCTGTCATGTGGGCTGCAGTGTAGTAGTGAGCGCATAGCTCTGCAGCCTCTGTTTTCCCGGGCTCAAGCGATCCTCCTGCCTCAGCTTCCTGAGTAGCTGGGACTACAGGTGCACGTCACCACACCTGGATAAGTTTTAAAGTTTTTGGTAGGAATGGGGTCTCACTGTGTTGCTCAGGCTGGTTGTCTCAAGCTGCTGGCCTCAGCATTCCTCCTGCCTTAGCCTCCTGCAGTGCTGGGATTACAGGCTTGAGCCACCGTGACTGGCCCACTGTCAGTCCTCAACTATGCTCTGCAGCAGTGCGGCCGTTCCCACTCCCCCGGTTCTCCCCTGGCTTGCTTGCAGAGACTCCCCGGCCTCCTCAGAAGGCCACGGGTATTCGTCCAGAACAGCGCTTTCCCACCCGGGCCTGTGTTGGCATAGCCTGTGGCATTAAAGCACCAACGTGCGCAGGCCGTACCTCAGCTATTAGATCAAAATAAGGACAATTTTGCTAAATTCTGCAGGTGACTCTGCTGGAAGCCAGTCTGAGAAACATGAGTTGATGAAGCAGGACCTTGGGACCCCAAAAACAGATTCTGAGAATGGGATTCTGTAAGTGGTTTATTTGGGAGGTGACCCCAGGAGCATTGACCGGGGAGTGGAATGAGACAGGGGAGAGAAGTGAGTGAACACAGGTACATCATAGGGCTGGTCACACCACAGGCAACTGGAGCTCAGACTTGCTGGGAACCCGGGGAACCACAGGGTAACACCATGCAGAGGGTCCCCTTGAGGGAGAGGAAGTAGGGGTGTCTGTCCACTGCTTGAGTGCTGCTTCCAGGGTGCTGATGCCCTGTCCAGGGTATCCTTCTTTCTTTCTTTTTTTGAGATGAAATTTCACTCTTGTTGCCCAGGCTAGAGAGCAATTTCCCGGCTCACTGCAATTTCCGCCTCCCAGGTTCAAGCGATTCTCCTGCCTCAGCCTCCCAAATAGCTGAGATTACAGGCATGCGCCACCATGCCTGGCTAGCTTTTTTTTTTTTTTTTTTTTTTTTTTTTAATACAGTTGAGCTTTCTCCATGTTGGTCAGGCTGGTCTCAAACTCCTAAGCTCAGGTGCTCCACCCACCTTGGCCTCCCAAAGTGCTGGGATTACAGGTGTGAGCCACTGCCCCCCAGGGTCCTTCTTTCTTACCCCTTCATGTTCTAGCATATTCCGGAAGCCATTTAAAAAAGTCCTCAGGCAGAGAGTGGAAGGTGTCCTCAGTAATCTGCCTCTTAGCTTGCAGAGGTGACTGCAGCAGGGGGCACAATCAGCATCTGTTCCTGATGGACGGGAGCAATGATCAGCAGAACCACCATGCTTGGAAGGCTCTAGAGGGCCCAGCAATGGGCTACTTGCCTGCATTAAGTGGCTGGATCCTCGGAACAGCTCTATGAAGCAGGTTATAAGGAGCTTGATTTATGGTTGAGGAAACCAAGGTGTGAAGAGGTTGTATCCAAGACTGCATGATATGGCATTCACAGCTTTTCTCCTAATGCCTACAGCACTGCAGGGAGCAAGCAGGACTGTTTACATGGAACTTTACTGCAGACAAGAGGCCAAGGAAAGGAGACAAACTCCAAAAGGGCCAGGCAGCTGAACAGTCTGGCTCATAAAATGTCACTGGCTGGCCTGGTGTGGTGGCTCCTGCCTGTAATCCCCGCACTTTGGGAGGCCGAAGCGGGCGGGTTACTTGAGGTCAGGAGTTTGAGACCAGCCTGGCCAAACATGGCAAAACCCTGTTTCTACTAAAAATACAAAAATTAGCTGGGCATGGTGGCATGTGCCTGTAGTCCTAGCTACTCAGGAGGCTGAGGCAGAAGAATCGCTTGAACCCAGGAGGCGGAGGTTGCAGTGAGCCAAGATCATGCCATTGCACTTCCGTCTGGGTGACAGAGCAAGACTCCATCTCAGAAAATAAATTTTAAAAAAGTCACTGGCTTTCCTCTGCTCACCTCGCTTTCAGTACCCAAGCCGTCCATCAAATGGCAGAGGGGCTCCTCCACTCCAGCCTCAAAGTCCAGATCTAAGACAGTGTGACCCAGAGGAAGTGCAAAGCATCCTCCCCTATCTCCTGAATTCTGGCTTTTGTGGAGGATAGGCTACCTCCCCAGATGGCCTGCTCCAGAGGTGACCATGACTTCTAGGGAGCCCCATCTCTACCACTCAGGAAGAGGCTTCCCCTTTGGCCTAAAATGGCAACCGGGTATAAATGCAACCCGCTGAGCTTACATGAGAGAGGCGCCCAATCAGAAGGGCCATTTCATTCCTCCTGTAGATACAGCTTTGGCCTTGACATTCAGGGAGTAAATTATTGCCAGAGTTTGTGGCAGATGTAGGCACCCAGGCATGAGGTGTGATTTAGAGGCCTGGCAGAGACCTCTGCCCTCCGATATCTCCTTAGCCAACCTGCCATGATGCCCAAATTTCCTGCCACCATCCGTCACTCTTCTGCACAAAGGCACGGTCAGCATGTCCTTGTTCAATGCAAATTTGTTACCTAGCTGGTGTAACACATCCTTCTGCTAAGACCAATTTATCACCCGTTTTCACATTAGCAGGGAGCAAGGCAGTGAGATAATGGAACTCAGCACAGGTCAATTTTGATGAAGAAGGAGCAGGAAAAGCAGAGAGCATGAGTCACCGCCAGTAAAAAATGGCCCAGGAAGGGGACAGGGAGGTGGGCGGGGCAGGCGACAAGGAGACTGGGCATGGGGGATTGGAGGGGACCAGGACCAGGTGGAGGAAAAGAAAGTCCCCTCCTTTCATAAGCCAGGCTGCCCCATCAGAGCCTGAGCTGGGAAAAGCCTCAGTCATTTGACACATGACTGAGGCTTTGGGCACTTCCCAGGGTGGGGTGGTCAGGTCTGGCCTCGGGAAGTGCTTTTGAAGCCAGAGAGCTTTCTTCAGACTGGCCCTGCGAGCTCCCAAGAGCCTCTGTCCATCTCTGCAACTGCAAACTTATTCCAAATCTAGGAAGGGTGAGGAGAGGGGAGGGGAGGACGCCTAGATGCTAAGAGACCACATGAGATCCTACATGTTTAGGGTTGTAAGGGGCCTTGGTGAGCTTCTGGTCCAATCATTTCATAGTGGAGACTCTGAGATGTGCACACTTGATTGCCCACTGACTGGTGGAGGATCTGGGGCTAGAACTCAGTGCGCCCCTGCGCCTGGCTCTGTGAGTAGGCCCCGGCGCCACAGGCCGAGTTAAGCAAAGAAGATCAGTAAGCAAAGAAGAGCCACGGGAATTTCTGATCAGGGAGGGACAGAAGATGGGCGGGTGTCGCCAAGTGAAATCCCATCGGTGGGAAGCGGCTGGTGCGGAAGCCCGTGGGGGCACCTGGCGGAAGAGAAGGGTCTCCGCTGGGCGCGCATCTCCTCTGTGCTCTACGGAAGCCAAAGCGGCTTTTGGCCCTCGGGGCTGATGGCGCCCGGGGAAGTTGCTTGGCTCAGGGGGAGGAGCAGGGACCCCCGCCCGCCGTTCCCCAAGCAGGTCCTCCGCGCCCCAGCCCTGCACAGCTCCGGGCAGGGCGCACAGCGAGGCTGCGGCCACGAGATGGCGCCGGCGCGTCTTAGAAGCGCCGCAGCCGCTCCCGGGCCGCCCCAGCGCCGCTCGGCCGCCTCCTCCGAGGAACAATGCGGCGCCTCCCGGCGTAGCGCGGCGCGGGGCTGGACGCCGGACACCCTAGCGCGGGCAGCGGAGCGGGCGGGCGAGCGGGCGGCGGGTGCGGGCTGCCTCCGTCGAGAGCCATGGGCGCAGCGCTGCGCGGGGCCGAGGATCCGCGCGGCCCGGAGGCGCGGGGGGCGGGGGCGCGGGCCCGGGGCCGCCTCTAGCCGGCACGTAGGGCGCGGGGCCGGGAATGAGGGCGCCCGCCGCGGGGATCCCGTCTGCGCGCCGCGGCACTGTCCCGCCCAACGAGCGAGCCGGAGCAGGCAGACGCGCGGCCGGTGGTCTGGGGGCGCGCCGCCTCCCGGCCCCCAAAATGTGAAGCGGGGAGGGCGGAGACGCAGAGACGGCCGGGCCGGGCGCCCTCGCCGCCCTCCGGCAGCCGCGCTGCTCCCTCCGCTGCCCGCCCAGGCCCGAACAGCGAGGCCACCCGGCCGCGCGCCCCCAGCTTCGTTCTGAAGCGGCTTCGGCCAGCAGAGGGTTCGCGGCTAGGACGCGGCGGGAGCCGGGCCCAGGACGGTGCGTCCGGCCTCGCCTGTGGCTCTTCGCCCAGACAAGTTTGAACAATGATCACCGTCAACCCTGATGGGAAGATAATGGTCAGAAGATGCCTGGTCACCCTGAGACCCTTTCGGTAAAGTTCCCTTCTGGTTGATCTTTTCCCCCGGGGGGCGCGGGGTGGAGGCGGGCGAGGTCGGTTCCTGAGAGGGTGGAAGCCCCGATGGCAGAGGGGGCGGTTCAACCCTTGGCGATGACCAGTGGGACTGGGCTGGGGACACGAATGGGGTTGGGACTTGGGGTGCGGGTGGGGAGGGGTGTGTTATTCTGGTACCTGTCCTGAGTTGGGCAGGGTCGGAGAGGACTCGGGGGCGGAAGTGAGAATGGGGGCAGAAAACACCTGCGTGTTGGTGGTGGTCCTGGGCCCAGAAAGTCGCCCCAGCCTGCGCACCTCTTCCCAGCCCCTCGGGGTCCGTCCTCACCCGGTGGACTGTCCCATCCGGGCGGCAAAGTTAGTGCGCAGCGCCCCGTAGCTCCCCCTCTGGTCCCTCCCGTCCTGCCCGTCCGCCCCTAGGTCGCTCCCCCCACAACCTCCCTGCCTGTGCTACCCTCTTCCCCACTTTTGGTGGCACTGCCCTCCCCCCGCGGGGCTCTGGCCTGGCTCTGACCAGAGGGTCCCGAGATGAGGGCGAGGACCCCCTAATCCCGGGATTCGCCTCCCGACCGCAGGTGTTGTAGAGGCGGGAGCAGGGGCGGTGCTGCGGGGCTGGGGGGGGCGGCGGGCGCTGGGGCTGAGGAGACCGCAGCCCCCTCTCCTCCCAGGCACCCGCGGAGCCTACCTGTAGCGGGATGGGAAGCGGGCGCTGCCTGGTGGGCGCCCGGCGGGGCCCTGGGTAGCTGGATAGCCAGGACGCTGAGGGAGTGGCAGCCCCGACGTAGGGGCCGGACTCGGGACGCCGCCACAGGTGGGGTCCGGGTGCGGGACGGAGCTTGCGAGGGTGGAGCTGGCAGGGAGCCTGAACCCCTCAGGCCGCGGCCGGAGCCCGCCGAGCCCCGCTGTAGTCTCCCCAGAGGGCGATGGGGGCGGGGAGACGGTGGCTCACCTGGCGCCCGCCTCCCAGCACACCGGGCCTGTGTGCTGGGCCGAAGAGGCAGCCCTCAGAGACGGCAGGAGTTAGGCTAGACCGCAGCGGTCCGGGGGTGCAGGAGGCCGGGAGAGCTGGGGCAGGCCCTGGGCAGTGATGGGAGCGTTGGGAGCCCATGAGAAGCAGGGCGGGAAGCAGGCGTCTCTGGAAAGGGCCTTGCTCCTCCAGGGAAGCCCTTGAATCCCTGGCCTGACTGGGAACACTGGAGGATCTTCGCCCCTTCTTCCCCCCACCCCCGACCCCCGACCCCTTGCCGGTCCCGCCCTCCTGACCGCTGGGTGTTCCTGGAGCGATTGGAAGCAGCCGTGGGACGCCAGCACCACGGACAGCGCTCGCGCCCCAGAGCGGCTTCCTTGTCTGGTCTTGCCCTGGTTTTTTTCAGGCCCTTATCGGAAGGCAGGATTGGGGTGGAGCTGCACGGGTCGCCAGAGTTGTGTAACTTCACCCCAGGGTGTCCCTGGGCTGCCCAGAGACCCGCAGTCATCAGTGAGTCCCTTCAGTTGAGGGGGGCAGGCTCCAGTCACAGTACCCCAGCTTGTTCATCCTCAAAGGCAGGCTGGGGTCCTGATCCCTCTGGTTTTCCCAGGGCTGCTGACAGCGTCTTCATTCCATAGGTGCCCCTGGAATATTGCTTGAGTGGATACATGGATGGCTGAAGCCATTTTAACTTGAATCCACTCCAAATGGTCCCCAGCTGCCTTGGGGGACACTGAACCCCAGGATGGAGGGCATGATGGCAGAGGGAGATGCAGATTAGGTGTGCTGGGGGCTTCAGGTTCTGAGCTGAAGAGGGCAGACACCTTTCTCATAGCAGGGTTGTTGGACCCTGGCAGGCAGCCCAGGTCCCCAGCTCTAAATACAACTCCCTGGCTGGGGAAGAGACCGGGGCGGGGGGGTGAGGTACTAGAGACAGGAGTGGGGGAAGTCTGTCCTTGTCCTTAGACTGGGAGGACAAATAGCTTATTTCCCCTGGGATCTCCCTGGGCACAGGACAGCACCTCTCTTACGCCGTTGCCGTGGCTGCTGTCTGCAGAACCACCTGACTTCCTCCAAGGGACCCCAAGATCTGAGCCACAGCCCCAGGTTTGGTGGAATTCAGCAAGGCATCCCTCTGCACCTAGGGAAGTGTCCCTTATGCAGTCTCGGCTACTGAATCACGTCTCCTGTCCTCCCTCTTGGGGGTGTGGTCTTCGAGTCTCTCCTTGGGGAAGCTCCCAAGGCCCTCTCTGCTTTTGGGTTCTCTTCCTCCCTGCCCAAATCTCTTAACAGCTTCCTTTAAATATGGGCTGGGATTTTGTTGTGCTTTTTATTTTCTTCTGCAATTGTGTGTTTTCTTTAATGGACCAAATTTTAATTAAATACTGCTCTGCCAATTTCAAATAATGAAGATTAAAATGCATAAAACAAGTCTTGTGTAAAGATACAAACAAGCGTGGAACTGGAGGGCGGGGAGTGGAGGGGCGAGGCCCAGGGGTCTCTGGCATGACATGTGGGGCTCTTTCCGGGTAGCCTGGCTCCACACAAGATGGGGTTCCTCGCCCTGATCTGGGGTTGGTGGGAGGGTGCCCCTTTCAGCTCTGCCAGTTCATCAAGTCCTCTGATTGGTTCAAGGTCCCAGAGGAGCCCCAAGGCTGTGCTGCTGAGCTCAGTGCTCCTGTTTTGGGCCTAGGATTGATGAGGGAAGCAGCAGAACTCTGGGTCTGGGCTTGAGGGAGGGAGGGTTCTGTGCCTCGTTCCCTCCTGTACCCCTGGGGTTACCCCAGAGCCTGGATCCTCGTAGATAATCCACAACTCCGTGTTGAAAGCATGAACAAGAGAGTCCTGTTCTGGCCAGGACAGCACACACACCTGTCACACAGGTGTGAGGGCACAGGTGTAAGGACACCCTGGCCAGTCCATGGTTCAGGCTGATGACCCTGTGTGCACCTGCCTAGGAGAGATGTGTGTTGGGGGGATCGTGGGCACGGGGCCGTGTGGCCCTGCCATGGAGATCTTACCATCTAGTAGTGGACATGGATGATGGTGTCCAAGCGACCTCATGACTGCTGCAGCAAGGCCCCTGCACAGCACCCAGGGTGGCCTGGGTGATTGATGGGATCCAGGTTGGCCTTGCCTGGACCAATTCCTTGCCCTCTGGCTGGCATCGGGCCCTGCTGTGTCCATCACTGGTTCTCAAACTTCAGCATGCAGTGGAATCTTCAGGAGACTTTGCTTAAACAGCTTGCTTGCCCCATCCCCAGAGTGTCTGATTCAGTCATTTGGGGTCTGGACTTGGCACTGGCATTTCCAAGGATTCTCAGGTGATGCCAGCGGCTGGTCTGGGGACCACACTTTGAGGACTGCAGCTGTTAATGAACCAGCTCTGCCTGGAGGCTAGAGCCCGCCTGCCTCACGCCTAAGTGTGCGTCATTCTGCCTCGTGGTTTTCCGTGTGGCTGTGGGCCAGCTCCCTGTAGTCGAGCTCTCTTTATCCTATAGTGAGGGGAGCCCTCCTGGGCCTGGGAGCTCAGCCCCTACCCTTTCGTTCTCCCTTGCCTCCTTCACTCATGTACTCACTCATAAAGCATTTGTGCAGTGCGTACTTGGTGGAGCGCTGGGGCATGATGGTGCTGCCTGCCCTTCTGACATGCTTCCTTCCTCTCTGCAGGCTTTTTGTCCTGGGCATCGGCTTCTTCACTCTCTGTTTCCTGATGACCTCTCTAGGAGGCCAGTTCTCCACCCGGCGCCTGGGGGACTCGCCATTCACCATCCGCACAGAAGGTACCTTGGTGGGGTAAGGGGAGTGTGAGATGAGTGAGGGTGTTTGTGGGTCAAAGAGGAAGTGCCTCTGAGCCTAGCCCTGTTCCTGGCTTTCTGGCCACCCTGTAGATGGATGTGAGTGGTGGGGTCCTGGGCTTGGGCTGTATGACCCTCAGTGTGCTTTGGCTCTGGTCTGGCAGTGATGATCAGGCTTCCTCTGGCCTGGATTCTCAGGCCAGGCTGGGGCCTTTAAGCCAGCATCTCCCGGGGCTCAGAAGAGGCTGCCAGTGTCGCTTCTTTAGTTGGGTGTCGGGGGTAAGAGGTCTCTGGATATGACATCTGTCTCTTTGAGGCATGCATATCCTCGCCTTTGGCCCAGCCTGTGGCCACAGTGGGGACAGGCCCAGCCCTGGGCTTAAATGTTTTATCTATGAGTCCTTGGGACACAGCTCCCCCTTCCAGGCCCCATCACTCCTTGCCCACACAATATTTGCAAGGCAGTGGAATGGAGATCAGAGCATGGGCTTTGGGGGTCTGGGGGGTCTGGGCTTACATCCTAGACATCACCTACCAGCTGTGTGCCTTTGGCCGAGTCACCTGGCTTCCCTACAGAGAAGGGCAGCAGTGACCTTCTGCAGAGATTGGATTGAAGGAGCTCACACGTGGACATCACCCAGCATGGCTGGAGCCACGTGGCATGAGAGTGACCAGCTGGGAGCCCTCCTCCTGAAGCTGGGCCTCTCCGTACCTCATCTCACCCAAGGAGGGGTGGGGGTCAGAACTGAGTCCTGCCCACTGTGTCATGGGGATTCTTCTGATCACTGGTCTAAAGGAGGAACATGGGGTAGTGGGGAAACTGAGGTGAGTGGGTTTCTGGAACTGTTTGAGGGCTGGCTCTGTGAGATTCCCCTGCCCCTTGGCAAAGTCTCTCCTTGAAGTCCACCTTCTTGAATTCGCAGGGCTTGGCTACCTGGCTCCCCTGTTCCTGGCAATGAATATCATAGACATCCCAAGTTGAATAGGTTGTCATCTGGGGCGGTTGCTGAGGGGCTCTTATTATGCCATCTGCCATCTCATCATTAGATTCATTGCTCTGGTTTCACATGCACTTCTTTAAACTTGCAAAAGCTCTCAGAAGGAATCTCACACTTATTAGTCATTCAAGCCTGAGTGTAAGTTAATTTATCCCATCTCTGACTTGCAGAGATTTCTCAATCTCTGAGGCTCCAAATTTTCCTCTGGTAAATGGGATGGTAATACCCACTTCCCAGGCTCATCTCGAAGATACGCTAAGATAAAGCATGGGAAGGGGCCTCAGCAGCATCTGTCAAATGAGCACTCCATCAATACTTAATGGATGTGTCAAGCCTGAAACGGGGGCACTGCAGCAAAGCGTGTTTACAAAAGAGGACCAAGGAGGTGCCAGAATATCTATGTGTGAGAGGCTGAGGATTGAGGTGGGCGGGGGTGGGATGGGGCAGTTGCAAAGGTGCACTGGAAGGGTGGCTTGGGGAGGTCTGGTGGGAAAAGTGGTGTATGGGAAGATGGGCTGTAGACAGAGATTCATAAACTACCTGGGTGCCACCCTGGAAAGGGGTGTGCCCATCTGGGTGGGCTGTACAGAGGCCTTGAGGAAGCTGAACCTCCAGAAACATCAGGGGTCTAAGAGGTGGGAGTCGGGGTGGGGAGGAGGGATTTTTGATTGGGCTCAGGTTTTTCTGCTCATCTCCCTAAGGAGGTTGGAGAGTCAAGGCAACACTCCTACCCCATGGCTCTGGCCCCATCTGGGCAGGATCAGGCTCAGTGGCCCAGAATTGCAAGGGGTGTGGGTGCTCTGCTGTGCTCTGTGCTGTGCAGTTTTGCCTGGGTGTCAGGGTGGGGGTCCAACCCCAGCTGCAGGTCTGGGTCTAAAGAGGGATGGAACCACAGAGGGAAGAGCACGTGCCCAAGGTCATGTAGCTGGACTAGAGATGTGTGTGTGTGTGAACAATCTATACAACTAACAACCCAGATCAAGGAACAGAACATGATCAGCCCCCAAGTGTCCCCATGCCACTTCACAGTCATTACTCACCCAAGGATGGTCGAGACCTGACTTCTGATCACATAGAGGAGTTCTGCCTGTTTTTTGGACTTTATGAGAATGAAATTGTGTTGGGAGCTGATAGGGTTTGGCTGTGTCCCCACCTAAATCTCATCTTGAATCGTAATTACCATAATCTCCACGTCTGGTGGGGTGGACTCTGTGGGAGGTAATTGAATCATGGGGGTGGTTACCTCCATGCTGTTCTTGTGATAGTGAGTGAGTTCTCACAAGATCTGATTTTATTTTTCTTTCTCTGAGATGGAGTCTCGCTCTGTAGCCCAGGTCAGAGTGCAGTGGTGCGATCTCACTGCAGCCTCCACCTCCTGGGTCCTGGTTCAAACAATTCTCCTGCCTCAGCCATCCGAATAGCTGGGATTTCAGGTGTGTGCCACCATACCCAGCTAATTTTTGTATCTTTAGTAGAGATGGGCTGGTTTTGAACTCCTGATCTCGTGATCCACCACCTTGGCCTCCCAAAACACTAGGATTACAGGTGTGATCCACCACACCTGGCCCTGATCTGAAGGTTTTATAAGGGGCTTTCCCTGTTTTGCTCAGTACTTCTCCTTCCTGCTGCCATGTGAAGAAGGACATGTTTGCTTCCCCTTCCACCATGATTGTAAGTTTCCTACGGCCTCCCCAGCCATGCTGGACTCTGAGTCAATTAAACCTTTTACCTCTGTAAATTAACCAGTCTCGGGTATGTCTTTAGTAGCAGCGTGAGAATGAACTAATACAGGAGTGTTCTTTTCTGTGTGGCTTTCCCCTCAGACTCATGATCTTGTATGTGGTTGTAGTCATTTGCACTTTCTGTTTTCTTTTGCTGTTAGCCTCCCATTGTGAGTACACCACGTTTTTATCCGTCCTACCATTGGTGGGCATTTGGTTGTTTCTAGTTTCGGGCTTTTGTGAGCAGTGCTGCTATTCATATTTTAGTGCACATCTTTTGGTACCTACATGTAGTCATTTCTGTTGGGTATACCTAGGAGTGGAGATTCTGTGTGTTGTAACATTAGTTCTCAGACCAAGTTTATCCAAGCCGGTCTTTTCACATTTCCCAGGCCTCAGAAGCTGAGTGCCTGGAATACAGAACTAAGTCTGGGAGAAGGAGAAGACAGACAAGAAAAGGGGCTGCAGAGAACCCGGAAAAGCTGACCCTGATCCAGTTTAGATCCAGATTCACAGAATCCCCTGTATTTCTTTTTTCTTTCTTTTTTTTTTTTTTTTGAGATAGAGTTTCCCTCTTGTTGCCCAGGCTGGAGTGCAATGGCACGATCTTGACTCACAGCAACCTCTGCCTTCCAGGTTCAAGAGATTCTCCTACCTCAGCCTCCCGAGTAGCTGGGATTACAGGCCTGCAGCACCATGCCTGGCTAATTTTATATTTTTAGTAGAAACGGGGTTCCTCCATGTTGGTCAGGCTGGTCTCGAACTCCTGACCTCAGATGATCCGCCTGCCTTGGCCTCCCAAAGTGCTGGGATCACAGGCCTGGCCAATTTCTTTCATACCCTTGGATGAAGCTAATTTGCTTGGGCAGACCCAAGGCAGGAACTCAGGCCTGGAAAGCAGTTTGCAATATGGGTTTAACATCCTGATCCCGCAAGAGAAGCCCCTCAAACTCCATACCCACACAGTGCCTGGGGCAGCCCTAGGAGATGCCTGAGGGAAGGATTGGGGCTGCGAGGGAGGTGCGTGGCAAATGCTTGGCTGAATCAGGCCTGGGGAGGGATCCTGGAATCCTGGGCCAGGGCTGGGTTGTTGGATAACGCACATTTTGTTTCGCAAAACTAATCTGTGGAGTCTAGACAACCCCAGAGCAGAATCAGGAGAAGGAAATCCTCTAAGGCCCTGCTATTAAAAAACAAAAATCACTGGATTGGTCAACAAAACAATCTGCATACAAATGGGAAAAACAGGCTCTCCTCACCTGTCAAACCAGTGACAGAAGTGGGGTCCCAAGCAGACAGCGGCTGCGAAGGGGCAGGGAGGAGAAGGCTTTTCTCGAAAAGGAGAGGAGGGCGTCATTCAGCCTATTGTGGATGGTGGTCTCTGTGCGGGGCCTCCAAATTCTCCTCTGTGCCTGTTTATACTTCATGGTAAACTCTGATTAATTCAGGGATGAAATGTGACTGACATCTCATTCTGTATTCTGCACACTCATCTTAAAGATTCAGGAGAGGAGGCTGGATGGGGAATCATAACTTGGAGATCTGACTTCATTCCCTCTTGCTGCATTTGGGCCGGGCCTGGGCCCTGGAAAGGGGTTTCCAGCACTACCCCTCGCAGGCGGCTCTGCCTTACTTCCCACCCCAGGGCCTTCTCCTGTCTCCTGCCCTTCCAGCCCTTCTCTCCTTCTAAATTGACATCTGAGGCCTCCTTTCCCCTGTGGCTGCAGATAGGGCTCTGGGGCTGTTTCCTGCCCTCTGACTTGCCTTGAAGAAATAGTGGTAGGAGGCTGGGCGCGGAGGCTCACGCCTGTAATCCCAGCACTTTGGGAGGCCAAGGCACGTGGATCACCTGAGGTCAGGAGTTTGAGACCAGCCTGGCCAACATGGCAAAACCCCATCTCTACTAAAAATACAAAAATTAGCTGGGTGTGGTGGCGCACACCTGTAATCCCAGCTGCTTGGGAGGCTGAGGCAGGAGAATTGCTTGAACGTGGGAGGAGGAGGTTGCAGTGAGCCGAGATCATGGCACTGCCTGGGCGACTGAGTGAGACTGTCTTGGGTTAAAAAAACAAAAAAGTAGTAGTGGGAACTGTCTTTTGGGAGGATTCTGTAGGCCGGAGGTCCATGGCACAGCTGCGTGTGTCTACTGCGTCCTCCCAGACCTCCCAGGCCTCTGTCAGCAATGAACCCGGGGAAGGCTTCCTGGCTCCGTGGATGGCTCTGGCTCTGGCCAGAGGGTCCCCGGGGCTCTTCTCTCAGGGGTGAT